TAGTCTAGGCATTGTATTTTAGGGCTGCAGGTTTGAACTTGAAAAAGTTGTGTTTAAATTCATAAATATCAGAATGTAATATGTAATGCTGACATAAAACAACATTTAAAACAATAAATAATATGTTAAGTTTTGTGAAACACAAAGAGAAAAATCACTTGTCTGTGGAAGATGGAAAATATAATATTTGAAAGACTTTGAAAAAGATGAGAAGCTAAATCAATTGAAAATGAAAAGAACGAGGAGGAATTTTAAAAACAAAATGATCATTCTCTGGAAAGGCAAATTTTGTTAGTTTATGTGAGAACTGGTGGTCTTAGATGTTGGCCCAAAAGTGAGTGAAAATGTAAACTGAGATTAGGAAAATAGGTTAGTCTGGACTCTACAGCATTTTGGGGATTTTGTTCAAACTTCTGGATATTCTTCTTCTTCAGATAGAAGGCAGGAGGAACAATTCAGATGGACCTCTTGGAAGAAGAATGGCTGTAGAATGTATGAAACACAGTGAGCATGGTGCCACAGCCGTCTCTTCTGAGAATATGATGATACAGGCATGAAATGGGAAATTTTTAACTTCAAAAAAGGACCATTAATTACTCTCAGATCACATATGGAGAGTTACTCAAGAGAAATCTTAAAGAAAATATCACTTCAGGGGAGGGATTCTCCTTAGACTACATTTACTGGTGGGGTATATTCTCCTAAAACAGTTTTGCCTCCAGTTACACTTTACTGAAAGCCTTGCTTCCTTCCACTTCCTGGGATATGCATACAAAAATTGGGGGAGAAATCTGACATTTTTATTACAAGAAATTTCTTTAACAGCATGTAGAGATTATTATTACAAAAGTTGGCATTTGAATAATACAAGTAAAATGTGAATATCCAAGAACTATGAGAATCAAAACTTAACAGTTTTCAAGACAAAGAATGTTTTAAATTTCAAAACAATGTTACATCCTAAAGTGAATCAGAACCTGCTAGATTCACTTAAGAATGCAAGAGAACCCTAGAATTTCCAATGAAGTCATTTTGTACCATTTTTAAGTAGATAAGGGAATTTAGGAACTAGGTAGAGATACTTTTTGAAGTGTGTAGGGATAAGATGTATTCATCAAGCTTAAAGAATATACTTGACTTCTAGAGATGTTATTTTAATAGGCTCAGGATGTAGTCTTGTTCTCTAATTATAAAAAGCTCAAAATGTAGTTTCTTGTGAATAACCCTGGGAATGGAGGAGGACCCACAATTATAGTAAGGAATTTTTGGGTTTCTACTTCTCATTCTCTTCTTTTGCTTTCCTACTAATTTATTAACCAGAGAAGGACACAGCTTGAAAATAAAATGTGTTCTTATGTTCATCCTGTCTTTCATATGTTAATATCAGGTATTTGGATTTAATCCTTTAGAACATGTTGATTTGTAAATAACTTTATAGTATCACAGAACTGTGAGGTGATGATGTCCACAGGGATTAACAGCTTTCGCACAATGATTTAGCAAAACTTCCTCCCGTGGTTGTATATTGGTATTTAAAAGTGGACCAAAGCATTCAGAAAGATATGTCAGAGCTATCTGATAAGTGCTGAAACAATTATTTCACTTAGCCTAGACTAAGATGATAAGAAATGAGGAAGCAAAAGCAAAAGAAAAAAAAGTCTATCAGAGCCATCATTATTCCCTGCTCCAGGCTTTTCCTCTCCACAAATGCAATGGGAACACTGAGCTAATAAAATTCTGCATTTACTGTCAACAGATGCCTCACACCTTCTAGAAAACCAGTATCAACTTGTAAAAATATGCAAAGTACCAGAGGCAGAGTAAATTACAAACTACAGATTGGCAGATGCTTCAATCTTCCTACAAGTAATGAACAATCACCATGACAGGGATTGCTTGTGTTTTTCAAATATATGGCTCTAATTGGAAAAAAAAAAAAAAAAAAGTCAAATGATTTTTTGTCTGTTCAAATGGATTTGGGCTTAAAAATTCTAAATCCATATATCAGCCATGTAAAAAAATGCCTTGCAGTCTCCCCAAGGTTAGAAAAACATTGGCATTATTCATAATCGTCAAAACAGTATTTCCCTTCTGATAGGCTTGTTTCCCATCACAGTACATGACAGAAGATTTAGTATTTCCATCATAGGAAGACTATGGATTTTCCCAAAATGCTAAGCACCACTGATGATGTGGTTTCATATTTTTAGAAATTTGTGGGATTTTTTTAAAATCTTTCTAAAATACAAGAACCCACCAAAATAAAAGTTACACAATTTGAAGGAATTTGGTTTCTTTTGCTCTTTGCTATGACCCCATGCCTGTCGAATGTGCCTAATATACATCAAGCACTTATCCTAGGTTCCTTTTCTTCCATTCCTTCTTCATGATCCTAAGGTGGGACTTCTCTTATTTTGTTCTTTTGAAGTTCGCTGTTCTGTGCCTGATTATGTCTACTTATTCATGGTGGAAGAGTGGAAAGAATATCCCTCAGGCAACTTCTGGTTCTGCTTAACAGTACTATGAACTTATCAAGCTAATTTATGCAAATTTAAAATCAGAATAATGCAAGAATCAACCCCACTGATTTTAAAATTTAATATTAGACCACGAAAAAGTTATGGGTTGTAAACTTTAGCATGTTAAACTTAATTCATTATTATTATGATGATGATTATATTCTAACTGCCTTATAACATCTTTTTCATTTTTGGCATTTAAACTGAATTGAATTCAAAGCAATGCAGGCCCATTTTTTTTCTGTAAACTATCTGTTGCAGACTTGTTGCTTCAAAAATCTGGAGTCTACTGACAGCCACTTCACATCAACATAGTGAAAATATGGGTGAGGCTAAAAACACTGCATCCAAACAAGATAATATTTTACAGAAAATCTTGGAGAAGTGAATTGAGTTGAGTAAGTAAAAACATTAGAATATATATCCTTCACACAATTGGGTGCCAAAAAACACTCCTTAGTAAATATAATAAGAATCACACAAGGTAATTCTCAGTTAATAATGAAATTATACTAAAAATTGATAACAGAAGAATAGACAGAAAATCTCAAATTCTTAAAACACTTTAAATAGAACAGTGCTCAATGTAGATATTTAAAAATACTGTGAAATTATGAAAATTAAATTGTGATGACAAATTTGTAGGAGGTGACAAGGTGGTACTTATGAATTTATACTATATAGCATTAATACATATATGAGAATGTAAGAAAGATAAAAAATCAGGAGTTAAAGCATCATACTTAGCAAAATAGCAAAAGAAGAGCAAGTTAATCCCAAAGCCAGAGGGAAGGTATAATAAAAATTATAGCAGAAATCAATAAAATAAAAACACAAGAGAAGAATGTAAATCAATGATACCAAAATCTAGTTCTTTGATAAAAGTGAAAAAAAAAAATAACATTGAAGAAAGCTAAAACAGTTACTGGAAAGTATTAACTAGCAAAAACCACACAGTGAGAAATAGATATCAGAATAAATTTATAGCTGTTGTATAAACAAATTGCATTAGTAACAAAATGACCTTGCAAAAAACAAACAAACAAACAAACAAACAAAAAAACAACAAGGCCCAAGTGTGTTTTCACTAGCAGATTCTATCAAAGATTTAAGAGAGCAATGGTACTGATTCTCAATGATCTTTTCCAGAAAATGGAAATAGAAGGCGCTCTTCCCAATTCATTCTATGGAGTAAGTTAGCCTAATACAAAAACCAGAAAAATACATTAGAGAAATTAAAAGGTACAGACCGATATCTCTCATGAAGACTGACACAGAAACTGTGACCAAAATACTAGCAATTCAAATCTAACAATGCTTACACACTTTAATAAATAAAAATTTTTTTCAGATATGCTAGGCTAGTTCAACCTTCAAATCAAAAATCGAAGAGAAAAAAACCTGACGATATGCTTGGCAAAGGGTTAAAAAAAAAACATTTGAAAACTTCCACTCATGTTTAAAACAATTCTCAGACAGGCTGGATTTGAAAAAAGTCTCAAACAGGTTTAAGAACATCAAAAATAAATTAAATTTCAATTAGTATCTGACCTAATGATGAAAACTGAATACTTTTCTCTTAAAATCATCATCAAGGCAATAGCAAGGATATCTTCCCTCTGTATTCTAATTCAATATAATACTAGACATCCTTGCCACCAAAATAAGAGACAAGGGAAGGAACTAACATGTACACAAATTGGAAATGAAGAAATAGAACTGCCTCCATTTCTAGAAGACAATAACATCTACGTGGAAAATCTCAAAGAATTAACCAAAAAACTCCTATAAGCAGTAATCGACGGATCATTAGATAAATGAAAACTATTCAAATGTTTAGATTATTTTAGGAAGATAAATTTCCACCCAATTAGAGGCTACATTTCTCAGCCTTCTCTAGACATAAAGATGATCCTATAACCAAATTCTGGGCAATCATATGTGAGTAACAGTTATGTTGTCAACTTGGGGGTACATATGTAACAGGAAATTGCTAGATTTTCATTTCTTGTATTTTCTCTACTCCTTCTTGTAGGCCATAGCAACACATGGTATAGGAGGATCAGAGCCTCTCCTGGAGATTAAAAACAAATAAAACAGAAGCACCGTAGTGGATAAATAGACCAATAAAATAAATTCAATCTGGGTCCCTGAAAAGTGTTGCAGAGAAAGATCTGTGCAAGCCTCCTGGGACTTTGGTGTGAGAGATATATCTTCCATCTGATTTAAGCCACAGTTATTTGGTTTCAGGTACAGAGGCTGAAATGATAGCCCAACCAATGCCAGAGTAAACCTTCATACATTGCACCTTTGACCCTGACATGTAAAAACACACCGTTAAAGACATTTGTATCTGAATTCAAATACAAGTACATGTTCAAAATCAACAATCCAACAATCAGACATCTTGGAAATTCTGACAAAGACACCTATCTCAGACCACTTAGGTTCCATCTCAGTTGCATTTTATATTTTACTAACCTCCAAAGTAAGAGCCATCTGTCAGCTTCATTTCTTTACTTGACTTTGTGATGACACCCGCCACACCATGCTGAATGAAATACATTTTTTTCCCTACAGCTCCTTCTCGTATGATATAATCTCCAGGTTGAAATACCTCAAATCTCAACTTGCTCAGCATGGCAGTCACAAAATTCGGATCTGCGTTAGCAAAAAGAGGCATTGTAGCCACTAGTTTCCGACAGTTGAAGTTGACTATCTCCTAAAGATGAAAGAGAAAACAAATTTAAAGGAGATATTAATCACATCTGGAAGAAAAACGTGCTAAGATCTAAAAATATGCATAATATTACAATTCACAATCAGAATAAAAAATACATAAATTCTAATAATCCACACATCAAAAATCAGAAATTGGGTTTTGTATCCTTACACCTAGTGTTGTATATGAATATATTATTCAACAAATGTTCAATACATGCTCAGTTTGAAATATTAAATATTCAATGAAAGATTCAAATTTTTAAACTTGCCATTTGTTATTCTATATATGACATTAGAACTTCTATGTGAAAGAATTTTAGTCTTTCTTTAATCTTTCGTCTATGAAGGACGAAAGCAACATCAGTTCACATTGCCTATTGCCTATTGCTTCTATGCTGCTCTGTGTTGAACAACTGACTCCGCATCCACTAATAAGAATTCTAAAACAAAGGCCCAGATGACAGACAAAAACATTTTGATGTATCTTGTTAATGACATTTATATTAGAGCAAGGGCAATGGAGAGTGAAAAAAAAAGTGACAGAAAGGATATTGTCATCTAAAATTATGAATCCAATCTATGCCTATGATGGATTAGAGTATCACTCTTTCCAAAGCCTTGTATATCTCCACTGGAAGTCTTGATCTGCTCAGAGGCCATATTTTCCTGTCTGTTTGTTTCATTTCTAAGGTGAGGTTAATTTTTTAACGATTTTTTAAAATTTATTTATTTAAGAGGTAGAGTTACAGACAGTGAGAGGGAAAGACAGAGAGAAAGGTCTTCTGTCCATTGGTTCACTCCCCAATGACTGCAATGGCCAGAGCTGCGCCGATCCGAAGCTAGGAGCCAGGTGCTTCTTCCTGGTCTCCCATGTGAGTGCAGGGGCCTAAGCACTTGGGCCATCTTCTACTGCTTTCACAGGCCATAGTAGAGAGCTGGATTGGAAGAGGAGCAGCCAGGACTAGAACAGGCACCCATATGGAATGCCAACACTGCAGGCGGAGGATTAACCTACTGTGCCAGAGTGCCGGCCCTGAAGAGGTTAATTTTAAATTAGAAGATCTGTATATTTGATTTCATTCTGTAGTTTTCAGGTCCAGCTTAGACATACTCTTATCACATTGGGCCAAAATATGGATATGGAATTAATGATAACTTTGCAAGTCAGATGGGTGACAAGGAACAGACATTGAGAATCTAAGTTTTACAGAGCGCTAATTCTCCGAAATGTCTTCACCACCAAAGCTCAACAGAGGTGGGAGTGAATTTGTGATGTCGCTTAAGAGGAACAGAAACTTAAGACACCTTTAAGAGATGAGAAAAGGGCAAAAACAAATGGAACTGTACTAAGCACCAAATCAGGTGCCTTGTAGAAATGTGTTAAACAGTCTTCAGTTACAAGGCTTACAGAGTTTCCCAGTTCTTCCTTTCTTCCTTCATAAAATGTATCATTCTTGAATAGGTTAAAAAAAAAAAATTCCAGCTGAGATAGAAACCTACTTCAGATTGAAAAGTTGCTTCATTCTCAATAATACCTTGTGAATTCTGCAGACCGGAGAGGTTTCTCTAATAGAGCTTTATAGAAGATGATAAAATACTTAAAAGTCAGAAAAATAACAGAAACTGAACATAGCCAAGACAAGAGAAATACATGACTTATAGAACATGGTGGAGCATTATCCAACTTCCCGCAAATGCATAGTTGATTCCATGGTTGGCTGAATCCAGGGTAATTTTTGCTGATGCCAAATGGATGGCATGTGGGGATACAGCACTGTTCAGCATGTAGTGGGTGCTCAGTAAATATACATGCATATAAAAAAGCAGAGGAAGGAGGAAGGAGGAAGGAAGAGAGGGGTGAGCTTCAGTTGTGAAATAAGAGAGCTCAAAAAGATTATTTTTGTTTTTGTTAGGAAGAGGTTGCTTATGATTTTTTTTTTTTTTTTTTTTGGACAGGCAGAGTGGACAGTGAGAGAGAGAGACAGAGAGAAAGGTCTTCCTTTGCCATTGGTTCACCCTCCAATGGCCGCCGTGGCCAGAACACTGAGGCCGGCGCATTGCACTGATCCGATGGCAGGAGCCAGGTGCTTCTCCTGGTCTCCCATGGGGTGCAGGGCCCAAGCACTTGGGCCATCCTCCACTGCACTCCCTGGCCACAGCAGAGAGCTGGCCTGGAAGAGGGGCAACCAGGACAGAATCCGGTGCCCCAACCGGGACTAGAACCTGGTGTGCTGGCGCCGCAAGGTGGAAGATTAGCCTATTGAGCCACGGTGCCGGATACTTATGATTCTTAGAATGCTTTTTCAAGTAAATGTTTGTGAAAAAAATCTCATGCATATATATATATATATATATATATATATATATATATAGTGTTTTTTACTATCCAAATTACCTCTATACACAAAACTACACGAAGACTAAAGGTGAAGTGGAGTTTAAACAAGGCAGAGATATGTCATTAAGATGACAAGATGAGTGGAGAGTTAATTATTTCACATATAAAATGACATACAATAATAATGTATAGGAAAGTGAAAATAGGATTGCAGAGGAAAATAAAGATAATAAAATGGAGAATCCTTTCATCTATGGTCTTTCATATGAACTATATGGGTATTTTCGGGTATTTTCACTCCATTGTTCTATTTTCTATTTCAGAAAATATTTGTGCTATATGTGTATACATACATATATACATATATATATATTTATTTTCATTTTAATAGAGAGAGAGAGAGAGACAGAGATTTTTTGAACTCCTGATTCACTCCACAAATAATAGTAGGGCCTAGGTCAGGACAAAGCTGAGAGTTCAGAACTCGATCCAGATTTAACACTAGTTGGCAGCAATCCAAGTGTTTGAATTTTCACCTGCTGCCCCAGGGTGTGCACTGGTAGGAATATAAAATTAAGAGTGGAGCCGGACTGTGAGTGTGCCTGGGAAAGCAGCCCAAATACTTGGGATCCTGCCACCCTCAGAGGAGACCAAGATGGAGTTTCAGGCTCTCAGCTACGGTCTGGCCCAGCCCTGCCCATTGCAGTCAGTTGGGGAGTGAACCAGCAAATGGAAAATTTTCTCCCTCTGTTTCTCCTCCTGTCTCTTTGTAACTCTACCTTTCAAATAAATAAACAAATCTTAAGGAAAAAAGTGGAACTTGGATTCAAACGCAGACTCTCTGATAGAGGATGTGGGTGTCCCAAGCACTACTTTAATTGCTGTGCCAAATGTTTACCCCTAGAAGTGCATTTTACAAATAATTAAACTATTGTTTATTCCTATGATTACTTTTTTAAAGCAGAGACAGCAAAAGAGAGACAGACAGAGTAGCCACTCACTGGGTCACTCCCCCAAACACCTGTGGTGGCTAGGACTGGACTGGGCCAAATAGGAACAGGGAAGTCAATCCAGGTTTCTTATGTAGGTGGCGGGGGCCCAACTACATTAATCATTATTTGTTACTTCTCAGAGTATACAATAGTAGGAAGCTGGAATCAGGAACACAGCTGGGAGTCAACTCAGGTACTCCAATATGAGATGTGGACATCTTAACTCAGCTTCTAAGCTTCACGTAAATACTATCTGATTAAAGCTGCAAATTCTAATAAAAATATGATAGGGAAAGATACAATGAGACAGAAATGCCTTGATTTCTAAAAGTCTTTTTTTAAATTTTTTTGACAGGCAGAGTGGACAGTGAGAGAGAGAGACAGAGAGAAAGGTCTTCCTTTTGCCGTTGGTTCACCCTCCAATGGCCGCCGTGGCCGGCGCTCTGCGGCTGGCGCACCGCACTGATCCGATGGCAGGAGCCAGGTACTTCTCCTGGTCTCCCATGGGGTGCAGGGCCCAAGGACTTGGGCCATCCTCCACTGCACTCCCTGGCCACAGCAGAGAGCTGGCCTGGAAGAGGGGCAACCGGGACAGAATCCGGCGCCCCGACCGGGACTAGAACCCAGTGTGCCGGCGCCGCAAAGCGGAGGATTAGCCTAGTGAGCCGCGGTGCCGGCCCTAAAAGTCTTTAATCCTCTCAGAAAACTCAGTTATTTTGAGAATTAGTTTACAACAAAATCATGTGAGTATAGAAGTGAAGCACAACTTTTAAAAACTGTTCTATTTCCTCCTGCAACATTTATTAGAGAAAACATATTTAATAAAGTTATTAATATCTTTCCATAAGTAACACAGGGCTTTTAGAGCTGCTACTACGTCAGTCACATCTTCCTATAGCACACCAACAAATAAAACACACAGTTATTAAGAGCTCTAATTTCCATCCGTTTTCTTTATGGCAGTTGTTACAATTAGCTCATTTATAGAAATGTGTGGGCTGAGTTATCAGCATTGTCCATATGCATTAAATTGGGAGAGCTGACTTGCTGAGGAAGTAAACAGTGGTCCTTACCTTCATAATGAATTAGCCTAGCTAAAGGTTCCTTTAAAAATATATATTACTTCTTATTTCTGGTGTGTTTCATAGCATCAGAAAGTATGGAAGTGCCAAAAACAACCAACAGACCAAAAAGCAAAAATATCACCACCACCACCACCACCAGTGCCTACAGTGATAAGACAATTTAAAAGGGACAGTGGAGCACTGAATTCACTAACAGTGGTCAAAGTTGGAACAATCTGAGCAACAAAATAAATATAGTATTGAATTAAGCCCAAAGAATAAAACAAATAACCAAAGCACACATAGGTGCAAATAAATGAACAAATCCAAAAGTGAGAGAAAAAAGATCAACATGTTGAAATTCCAAGTAACAAACAATTCATGAAGCTATTCACCCCTCAAGAAGATGAAGAATAATTCCAGATCTTTGAAGGGTAGACTGGGCAGAGTGACTTCCTTTAAAGGGTATGCTATGGAGAAGGACAAAAGAGTAGCTTTACTATAGGGAAACATGACAAGCAACACTTCAAGCCACTGACTGCATTGACCAACACTACGTCAACAGTGGTAAGTCATGTCAACAACACATACTCTGGGTATGATG